CCTCTTATTTCATTTAATTTTGCTTTTTTGTCTTTTATGGTTGTCAGGCTATTTAAAACTCAGTTCACCGAAACTGACATCCTCAGTGTTGACAGTCATTTACATTGATTAAGGGCGCATCCACACCTGCCCTGTTTGGTTCAGTTCAAACAAACTCAGGTTCGTTTGCCCCCTAAGTGCGGTTCATTTGGGCAGATGTGAACACAGCAATCACACTCAGGTGTGCACCAAAATAACCAGAACCTTCTTGAAGAGGTGGTCTCTGTCCAGTTACAAATGAACTCTGGTGTGATTTGTTTGTGGTGAGAACGTGTTCCAACTTCAATCTGAACCAACTGCAGTCACATTATACATTTTTTAGGTTAAACACGAGCATGTTCCAGTCCTGGAGGATTATTAATGTGCACCTCCTCCTGTACTGCCAGAAACTCTGGAAAACCTCTAGCCACACTGACTACTGAATGAAAACGTTAATGTCAATAAATAAACCAAATAAATCATTTTTATATCCAGTTAAGTTAGCAGAGGACTAAACCAGAAGTTAGCCGCTCGAAAGTCTGTAGTCTGTGGGCCCCACAATGTGGATGGTCTGGGTAATTTCATACCATGGAAATCAAGCTTTTTCTGCCCTAAAGCCTTCACATTGGACCAAGATTTTTCTGCGCATCAAACACAGAAAGAGCCAATAAAACACGGTGTGCTGTTATACATTAAACTACCCAGCAGTTTATACAGGCACAGCTTATTATTATAATGGTAGTCATAACAATCATCAGTGGTAGTTCTTTACAAAATAGTTAAAAATGACAACCAGCTGCAATAGGACAGTCCTGCTTTTACATTAATGCATGAGTAATAATAACTAAATAGCCTAATATAATACATACCATAGTGTAACAGTCACATGGGACAATTTTCTACATAAGACCTTAAACTTTTAATACTGTACGATACTTTTCTGGTACATTTCTCTGATCATACATACTTTTATATAACTAAAACTGACCCAGAGTATTCCTACACTGTGGTATTGCTATTTTACTAAAGTAAAGTACTTGTTTGACGCTGGAGGCACATGTAGTCAGTATTGATCTGATGAGTGTCACTGATCTGACAGCTCTGTTTTATATCCACAGCTGAGGTGACATCAGCAGACAAGTATTGACTCCTATCTGTGCGTCCTGCCACTTTATCACATAAACACGACACAAAATACAAATGTTATGTTGTTATTAAAAAATCTGCCCATTGAGCATTTCAGTGTCCCAGTCAGACCTGAGCTCCAGTGTCAGCGCACTCCGGCTATACTTATCACTGCAACTGTCGGACGCGCTGTGGGCCTTGACGCTGACACCGTGGAGTCAGCCCTATTTGGACACGGCTGCAGCGCCAGACTGTCACTTTCACCAAACGCCATTCATTCATTTCATAACACTCACACAAATACCCCTTGTGTTTATATGTATATTTTAAATATCAAATAGTTCACTCAGGTTGTTCCCAGCTCCTGTGCGCCGCTAAATTGAGCCCGCTGAACAGGCACTTTGGGCTCGCCACAGAGACACACAGTCCTATAAACAGCAACACACGCTTCCAGTTTTTAGGGAGCGGCTAACTTAAAGGCTTTTCTTATTAATAGGCGGCGGGGGCGGAATATCACGCACGTACCCGGCGGTCATGGCGATGTTGTAGAAGGTGAGCCATGCGGTAGCGAGGGCGCTTTTCGTTCTCTTCTTGTTGTTGTTTTCCTTCTCCTCAACCGTGCCGTCCTCCTCGCTGGACGCCATGGTACCGGGGGCAGGGTGGGGAAGTCAGGAAGGGAGCTGACAGCTGGGGCTGTGAGGGAGGGGAGCAGCAGGGTCATCCATCCATGCGCCCCTCTCTCGCGGGACTAGTGCTGCAACAAGTGCGTGGCCTGCCGGTGGGCCAGGGACTCTCATTATAGGGTAGTTCTTACTAAAATAAATAAACAAATAAATAAACACATAAAGAAATAAAGTATGTTTCATTATTAGAGGTTGGGGAAGGAAGCTACACAGATCATTAATTTAGGGACTGTTTATTTTTCAGAGGAGGGGGGTTAACCCTTCCCAAAGGTGCTTTTTTTGCCATTTTTCCTTGAGCCTCCCTGAATGAATGGCATGAATGACCTTCCTTCCACCATAAATTACTTATTACATTTTTAAAACTTACCCTTTGATGTTTGAAAGTTAAAAGTTGAATACAAAATCCCGTAGTTGGGAGAAAAAAAAGCCTCAGTTTTTCACTCTTGCTGTGCGTTCCGATACCCATACTACCAAACTATATAGTATGGCAGAAAAATATTTTAGCATGTCCCAATACATAGTATTTCAAATACAGTATACCAAAAATACCAGGATGTACTACATCCGGTCTGATTTTGCAGTATGTAAGTCAGCATGCTTTTTTGGCTATTCTGACCCACAATCCTTTGCACAGTGGACAATACGTCACATTACTGAGCTGCAAACACATGACGGCTTTACAATTCAGTGACAGCTGTTTGACAGCTGTCAGAAGTCACAATGATGGATGACAGCGCATTCAAGTTACTGATGACCAGTAGTACAGTAATAATAGGAATATTTATTAAAGTAAACAAAATAATCATAGATATTATAAACAACAAAAGGACATAAGTATAAAAACAGCTGACAGAAAACTGCAGATGTAATTTCACTGTCACAAATATATGTTAGAATCTACAATCTATGCAGTTATAACTTTAAAGCTAAACTACACACATTGCAAAGTAACAACAGCAAAGCTCTCTGGGTTAGTGACTGATATAAAAGCAAGAGGGTCATAGTTCAAAGTGTAATGTCATGAGACAGTGGTATGTCCCAAATGTGTGCATACTGCATGCAACAGTACATTCTTTTTAGAGCAGCTGTAGTACCTACTACAAGTAAAAAGAAGAAGTATGTGATTTGGAACTCAAATCCAACAATAATTTCTGTTTTTACAGTTTCTGGCTATGATGAATGGTATAATTTTGGCCATGTTTATTAAAAAATGTCTGCAGTTTAGAAGGCATGTTTTTTAAGAAGAAAAAAAAAATGTCCGTGAAATAAATACAAAATACAGCCATTTAAAGTTGTATGCCCCTCCCTAAGCCAAATAAAAAGTATAAGTCTCTCCACCCAGTGCTAAAAAAAAATATTTGACATACCTCCCTTTTTTGCGCTGCCCCTTCCTCTCCCACAAGTAACAAACAGTCTCTTAGCAATGCCACATTGTAGAAATACTCTTTTACAAGTAAGTGTCCTGCATTGAAAATCATATTTTACCCAACACTATGTAGGCTAATAGAGGAAATATAACTTCTCAAAAATGTACTCAGTGCAGAAAAATGCCCCTGTGACTGTTATATAATTAGATTAGGCCTATTATTACTCATACATTAATGGAAGTATATTATTTGTACCATTATTATGAAGTGTTACCTAATTTAATCACATGTCAATTATGTATGGCGTAACTTTGAACCAACATTCCTTGATTAATGGTCTATAATGTTTGAACTAAACACATTAGGGCATAGTGACTATATCAATTGTTAATGCTAAAGTCATGATATTTCCTTAACTCATGCACTAGTTAAGCATTAATTCATGTGTGATCTGTACTTTTTATTATAAAGTGTAACTGAATTGTTTTAAAATTATGTTTTAATTGTGTTTGACTTAAAGGACACTATCTCCACACTCACACTGTGTGCAACTGATTACCTGTTACCCTGCTGCAATCTGATTGGCTGTTTGCCAAGTACTGTTGTAATTGGCCCATAGATAATCTTAAACATTATGGTACCCACCAGCTGTGGAATATTGTTATATTGTATGGAAAATGTATTTATTTATTTAATTTCAGTAGCTTACATGTAATGTGAGCCAATGACCCAAACAGAGTACCAGTAAGTACTACCTCAATGGATGCACAGCACACACCACTTCTTATTGGAATTTAGTGCTTCTATCTTATATAATTTTTTTTAAATGGAATTTATGTTGTTGTTTTTTTTTCAAATGCTTCTATTTGATGTGACCCAGTGACTCAAATTCAATACTAAATATTAATACAGTAGGCACACAGAACACACATCTTTATACTGGATTTTAGTGCATTATCTATTATGTCTTGTTTTTTTCAATAGCTTCCATGTAATGTAAGCCAGTGATTCAAACTCAAAATATTTACCCCCCTCTGTAATTTATTTTGTATATACTTCAGATCATGTCTAATATTCTCAATAAATGGATAAGTGACTACTTTCCTTGCAAAATTTATTGGATGATTCTTTCATACTGCTTTTCAACCTGCCACAAGTGAACAGCACATGTTCACTTCATTATTAGCTTGAATTTGCATTATCAAGACACAAGAAACAAGTCTTGAAAATTTGTTGAAGCTTGTTTTAAATCTTTGATGTACTTCCAATATTTCATTGTGCAGTGTCTGATATTGTCCAGTTATCATATTTTACCACTAGATGGCAGTGTATAAATATGAAAAGTGCCTCTAGTTTGCTGTGGCATCATGTGCCTCCTCTTTTCAGCCACTAGTCCTTGGATGTTGGTTAGACTGTGGGTGTTATCAAGTCCACTTGTGTTTGGATATAGGATATAACTAATCCTAAGCTACACGTTTTAGATGCTCAGATCAATGTAGGTCATCTGTGTGAAGCTGATTAATAAGACAGAGTTTTAGCTTCAAAAGCATTGACTGAAGTATCATTTTCAAGACTTGATCATCCCAGTAAGATGCCTGTTATACACACACATCCTTCAGGGTGCAAGGTTAGACAACCTTTGTTTGTATCCTGTGTATATAAAGAGAGCAAAGGGCCAGTCACATCACCGTCACACCAAGGTACACAATGCCTAGTGCAGTGTAAGCAGTTGGGTGAGCAGAGAGCCAGGGCTGTGGTGTGTGGAAAATGCTAGTGGAGGCAGACAATGCACTGGTCCGAGGCCTGACCAGCCCTCAGAGGGACAGGGGTCGCCTCACTGCGACAACAGCCCCCGTCTCCCTCCCGTCTTTTTCTTTTATCGAGCTCCACAGCATGGGCTCGGGGAGGACGCTGAAGTTCGCCCTGTGCGAGGTGCTGCAGTTTGCAGGCCTGTGCGTGCCACTCTTCATCGTCATGCAGAGGTTCGCCGTCATCGTAGCGAAGGTCAAAACGTCGACGCAGCCTCCCGGAGACAGCAGCACGGCCTACTGGTTGATCGTGGCCTCCTCCATTGCCTATGTCACCTCCACCGCCCTGCTGGTCTGGGTACCCATGAAGTACATGGTGTTTATGAAGAAGAAGTTTCTCATTGGGAGGAAGAAGTGGTGAGTTTCTCTTGCTATTGTCCTGATGTCAGGGGCCTCAGAGGTTCTCAGCTCTGTGTGTGGACAGCAGTGCAGCACTGACTGACACCTGATCAGCTGGTTTGTCTGTGACTGGTTTGGACTGCATTCGGCTGGTGAATACCATGAGTTAGCAAGTCCTGCAACTGCCTTTGTCTTCCTTCCTTAATTCTTTCCCTTCCTCTGTCTTTGTATCAGGAGGCCTGTGGCCCTCGTATATGTGATCCTGTCCACGTTACCCTGCTTTGCCTTTCTCATCGCCAGCTCTGAGGTACAACATGTTGTGGAGTGTTTGTTTCATTTCTTTTATTACATCTGTACCCTGTTCGTAAACTTTGATCCTAATGCTGCAATATTTGTAACAAGAGTCAGCCCCCCCTAGGATTTAGAGGGATATATTAGCAGAAATAGAATATAATAAGTACGTTGTCTTTAGTGTATAATCACCTGAAAATAAGAATTGTTGTGTTTTCGTCACCTTAGAATGAGCCATTTATATCTACATAGGTAGCAGGTCCTTGTCCATGTTGCACCAACACATTCTCACTCCGAGCTCATCACGTTCCAGTGTTTGGTCATGGACTTTCCACGTCCAGATACGATGTTAAAGGTACCCTGAGTGCGTTCGTTGTTGACGTTCTGGAACGCCATGTCAAGTTCTGGCTGTTACATGCATTGTCTTCTTTCAAAATACACTAAAGTTTTCACACGAAATTTACTGTTCACATACAGTCTCTTTCAAAATAAAAGCACTACGGCAGTACAACAACGCAAATTGACATTTTTTTCCTCCAACAACTAACACACGAGGCAACAAAAGCACGTGGTTGGGTTTAGAAAAAAAGACCAGGTTATAATCTTACAGAACACCACCCCCCTGGGTGAAAGTCTGGGTTTTTTGGATCCATCCGCCCTACTCGGACTTTCACCACCTTAACTTTCGTTCTTGTCCCGTCGCCTTTCCCCGACGCTGCAGAGCGTCGTTTAACTATAACAGCGACCAGCTATTTATCATGCCGACGTTAAAGGACGGCTTTTTTCGTTAGTGTCTGATGCCACAACTCACTGCCCAAGCACTGGATTTCGACAACTTTGCAGTGAGACTGGGTTGGTTGCACTGCCATGTTCAGGGTTCCTACGCAAGTATGGAAAGTATGGAAAAGTATGGGAATAAATTTGATCAGTTTCCAGGTATTAAAAAGTATGGAAAATGAAAAATAAACTATTATAAGACTATTACCACTGTTCTAAAATACTGTTTTCTAAAATAGAAAATTAGGTATTTCCAAAAATAATTTAATCAATCCGGATCGTGTTTTATGCCGGGCCAAGCACAGTTTGTGTGAGAGCAAACGTCTCACAAAACATACCACCCCTTTTACCTGATTGACAAGTGGTATGTCCAGTCCGCTGCCCCATGACCCTCCTCCAGCCCCCCAGGTATCAAGTTTCACTTCAACACTGCACCTTCGACAAGAAGACAAGTTTCACATGGTTCACAATGTGTAGATGCAAGTTTTTGGATGGATGGCTTGACAATACCGTATATAAATACTGGTTGGCCAAGGATTCCCAATTCACACACAGAGCTAGATGCAAGCTTTGTGTGAAATCGCTTGACATCGCCAACACAGGGGAGAAGGCGATTCTAAGCCACATGAAAGGAAAAAACACTGACGTCTCGTTACTGCATCGCTTGCACCCAGAGTCCCAAACTTTTTGCCTCAGCCCAGACGTTGAACTTACCTGAGTTTTTATTTGCATGCCATTATGGTACTTGGCTACAATCGCCTATTAAGAATAATTAAATATGATGTGAAATATGATACACTGATATATTTACTCAGATGTCGCATATTCTCTGGAAAAAAAAAACCCCCACAGAAGTCTGGAAATTAGGGTATGGAAAAGTATGGAATTTTGAAATTCCAAATGTGTAGGAACCCTGCATGTTTCTATAGTAGCCCAGAACGAACAAACCAAACACTGGCTGTAGATAGAGTCTTAGGGTAATTGCATAGGCCACTGTTGTTAGCAGTCCCTACGCAATGGCCAGTGTTGGAAAAACACTTATTTTTTAATGTGAAACTGCTTTGTTCAGTGTTTTTACCGGTTTAAATCCCCCAGCCTGTTTGTTCCAGAGAGGATGAGACCTCTCCAGGTAATTTGGCTCCTTGTTAACCTCCCAGACTTCTGGAACTTAAGTAATCAGAAAATGGTGAGCACACATTACTAAGTGCTCAGCTAGTGGCCTATCTGTGTGACCTGACCGGCACCAGAGAAACACTGAATAAAATTCTATTTTGTTTACTCAATTGCGTTCACATGATGAAAATGCCGTTTTGATAATCAGACAGTTTTTCATAGGATTTATTTTACTAAAGTATCTAATTTTCAATTGATGTTTGTTAACTTTTATATAGTGAGTTGTTGTCATGATTTGTAGGATAATGTGCAAGGAACTGCACATTTCAGTGGCGTTTAAAATTTGGTTATTGAAAATGTGATTTATTATTTTAAATGACTTATAATATACGCAATGTTTCTCACTTTTAGATTAACTGACTAGTCTAAGTTTAAAAATCCATTTAAACGCCAGGGAAATTAGTCATTAGGTACCTCCCTAGTTTTAATCATCTGGTTTGTTTATTTGGAGAGGAAGAGACCCCATGTGAATAATTTGGCTCCTGGTAAAAACCTCCTGAACAATGAACACTGACGAAATCCTAAGCGGGACTTCACACTTGATACATGGGAGAAGTTTCAGCTGGTTGCAATCTGCAATCCTCCCAGCTAGATGCCACTTCATCCTATGAAACCTACACACTGCTCCTTTAAAAAATACTCACTACAACTTTACATTTGAGACCAAATGTAAATAAAATGTTGTGGGTGAGTGGTGTCACAGTGTGAAGCATCTATGAGTGGAATTAAGGTGATGATTTGTGAGGACCCTTTTGGTTCTCAGGGGATGAATATGGATAAGGAGCTACTGATAAGCAGCTTGGTTCCTCTTCCTGTCCAGGCTGCCCTTGTCAAATCATCTGTCCATGAGGCACATTTTCACTTCCTCACTGGCTGCAGTCCAGGTCCTATTTGCTGTTTTATGTGGCCCTTTCTAGAGCCCAAGCTGACCTTTTGGCCCCTGCTTATCTGGTGTCTTTTACATGAGGGCCGTAAATTGTGCTAAGATGACCAGCTTATCTGCTTTGTTCTGTGTCCTGTTGGTATGAAGTCCTGACTCAGGAAAATACCAGCACTGCAAGTGATTTAGCCCACAAACCCAGAGCAAGTGATTTAGCCCACAAACCCAGAGCAAGTGATTTAGCCCACAAACCCAGAGCTGTAGGAGGTCAGACATGATGATGTAAATGCTTGATGCAAAGGTCCCTTATTGTTGAGGTGAATTGATGGGTTCTATATTGATTGGAACTGATTAATGACATGAAATGTTTAAGTATGTTCAGCTAATTTTGTGGTTCTTTGCCCAGGTTCAGATAAACAACAACATGAAACACGACACGTTCACGGAGCTCCCTGTATCACTAGTCCTCTTCTCTCTCATTTGTATTGACGTTGTGGAGAGGATACGCCACTGCAGACTGACCGGCCAGGGTGAGCGCTGCTCTCTGAACACATCACACAAATCACTCACCGAGTGCTTTAGATCCTGAACTTTCCCCAGCCAACTTCTATAGTGATACCAGCCCGGCTTTACATTACAGGAGCTTGGAGGCAACAAATACAGCAAACAGGTCTTTATATAATTTATCCAGAACAATTTGGACTTCTTTTCTCTGGCCCTGTGCCTGCAGTTGAAAGATATAGGTGCAGCTGAGGAAATGAGCAGAACATTTGATAGCAACTTCTTGTAACACAGTGCTGAACTGACAAAACTCCAGCAATGTTTTTCTAAAGGGAGACACTGAGTGAAGTTTTGGCTCCAGCTACACCGCAGATTCATGGTTGCATCACTATGATCACAAGATCTGGTGGTAGCATGTTGTTTCTCGATAATGGCTCATTTATGCTCATTGTTAGATACCTATACAGACACAGAGGGAGCCATGGGTGCAGATCCCGGGGGGGATGGGGGGGACATGTCCCCCCCCCCAAATTCTGAAAAACACAAATTGTCCCCCCCAATTCTAAATAGCTTAAATTATTGAAATTGAACAAATGTATACAGTAGTCCTATATACTGGGAGAAAGGGAAGATGATGAGGAGAAATGGGAATCCGTGAGAGGTGAGAGATGAGAACATGAGTGGACATAACATGCCTGAGACCCTGAAACTAGAAGTAGCATTAACTAACAGCAAAGCAGTGAAAAGGAGGGTGATGGCTGGTTCCATGTACTACTGGCTGTTAAAGAGAAATAAACAGTAAAGGTAAGCATATGATTCTCTTTGTAGTGCTTTTTGAATGACTTGGTGATGGTGATGAGCCTCTATGAAATCGTGAAATATGCTGGCAATCTCAAGCGCTCTGTGGGCATGATTTGCACGTGTGCAATTAAAAAAAAAATGACAACTGATTGTGTCCCCCCCAAACTTGTCATCAGATCTGCACCCATGGAGGGAGCCTTATTTCCATACTCTGCATTCATTCCGTTTGTATTGATGTACGTTTTTTGAAAGTTTACAGATATTGACAAAACAGAACAATACCACTTTTGATCTGAGGGCAGAGGAGCCCAGTTCAAAAGAGATACAACCATAGGCCATGGATGTATTAAGAGACCTGGATACAGCATTGGCGGCCAGGCCCTGTTTATTTCTATGAAGGTTGCTCAGTGGAACATAAAGCCAAAAAAAGCTCTGTTTCTGTGGTATGAAATTACCCAGATGATTGGCGCTGCTTCCACATCATCGGACTCATAGGGCAGGTGCACTAGAGACTAACAGCTGCTGTTTGGTGCTCAGCTGACTTGAATGGTGATAAAATAATTTAAACTTGCAGCTCTTGTAGTCTTTTCAAATGTCATCGGACCAAATGGATCTTGGTAGTGGAGCGAGTCATTTCACGAGGGGTTGTGATGCTTAAAAACATCTCCACGGATTTATAGACATCTCTTTCCCATACATTGGGTAAAAGTCTTTTAGGGCCCAATGGCATCACATGACAGAACCCAGAAATTGCAGTACCACTGTTTGGCCACTATGAAAATTGGCTTCAAAGCTCTGCACTCATCCAGGAAAAGCAGCTCAGCCCTCCCTCTAATTTTTCCCAGTGGCCACCTGCAGTATTGCAGCAAAAAAAAAAATCCTCTGAGGCCCAAAAAGCATTTTACAAATTGACAACCACTATAAAAGAGACATGGTCAACTATGACTCTTTCTACTATGAATTTTTGATCCATGAAGATTTTGTATTTGTACAACTTTCTTTGAGCCAAGAAAAACAATTTAAAAATCTGTGATGTCATCCCAAAGCAAAGTCATGGCGGGGCCAACGTGTGACACACTGTTGCACATATTAAGTGGGCTGCATACCATGGAAGTAGACCTGGAAGCTAGAAACGTTTTTTGGCATATGCACCAGTTGAGCAACTCTTTTGGATTCAATAGGTCCCATCTTGGGGTCCAGTATCTAGTTATTCGTACATCTATGTTTAAAATGGGTTCAAAGTGTAATTCCCTTTGGAATGTTTGTTAATGCAGTAGCTGACAGAAACATAGAGCGCCCCAGGAATGAGTCCTCAAACCCTGAAAACTACTTAGCATTTTGCCAATCCCAATTCCCTCGTCTTGAAGTCAGTGGGTTCATTGAATGGGTTTTTGGTTGGGTGCCCTAAATAAGGTCTGTGGTTAACACAAGCTTAAGAGACTTTCACGTTTTGTTCTATGACATAAAATACGTCAGTGAATACCACTCACTAAATGAGACTATACAACGTCATCATGCCAAACACGGCTTTACAGCCTTGTTTTGGCGGCGTTAAATTCATGCCACCATGGTGTAGTTTGTTTATAGCATAAAGTTAGATTTTTACTTCTACTGATTCTGATTGCTTTTAGGCAACAACACTTATTAAAGTGGTGTTCATTTATGAAAATTATCTTGCTGAACAAAACATGTAAGTATTATAAACGTTTGTTTGCCACACAGCATATTTTCAGCAGTGTTAATTTTGACAGCTATTTTAGATTTAGTCTTAGTCTTGAGATGAAAATACTTATTAGTGTAAGTCAACAATAATTCAAAATGTTTAAGTTAATGAAATTCATGTAATTTCAGTCAACTATTAGTCATTATGTTTTTTTTTGTTTTTTTTTAATATATTTAAACTAACTTTTTTGTACAACTGCAAATAATTTCTGCACACTTACAAACTGTCATTTCCCCAGCAGTTTTGACAGGTTTAAGGTGTGATTTACGAGCACACATTTACTGATCATCACTTGAAAAGCTCAACATTTCCATATTTATGCTTTCAAAACTCTGACACCACAAATAACTACTCTGAGACAACTAGGATTGTACCCAGGTTCACTGTAAACTCTGACTTTATTGATCTCCCTGTTAAGAAGCAGAAAAATAACTTAATTAAAGCCTGAATTCTTTCTTAATCTGCAACATGTTAGTCTGAAAGTTCAAACATGTGTCCTCTCACAGAGTTGGTGATTAAAGTTAACTTTAATTTCTTGTAGAGAAAAATGTACTGCAAATTCAGACTGTTTTCTTACAACACAGCTACACTTACAGATAACTAAGCCTCTTACTTGCCTGTCAAACAGAAATCAAATCTTAAACCCTCCCAAGACACTCCAAATCTGAGTGGACCCCTGTGTTGCTACTAAGGAACTCCACAAATCCATTTAACACGTCCACCATCCACAGTCAGACACACAGGGCTAATTATTTACTGCTGGATTACAGCTCATACCTCGCACCAACAGCTGACGCTGCTCTGGTGTGAGTTCTGGTGCAGACTTTTTACTGGAGTTTGCCAGCCTGTAACTCATGTAGCATTTGAAGATAATTGCAAGCACTGGTCTTCTCGGTTTTTAATGTCCCATTTTTGTCATGTCTTGTCTTGTCAACAAAAATGGAACATAGAAAAATTTTCGTCCTAGTTTTTGTCTACAAAATTAAGACTGTTTTTCAGCAATAATCCAAAATTCAATAGAAAAATCCCAAAGGCTTTTTAACGAGGGAACCAGGGCAATGCTAACTTTCACGTTGGCCCTACAGAAAAATGACATCGCTGTATAAACAGGGTTCAAAGCTTGGCAATTGAATAGCAATAAAACAGTGTGTAATGAAAATAATTCTCTGCCCACATTCTGCAATGTATTTAATGGCCTCACAGTCACTCACACTTTTTTATTTTATTTTTTTTGCTATCAGAAACTTTTGACTCTGCCCTCTAGTGTATGTATCTATATCAACATAAATGACACATGGAAGTACGTGGGCAGTGACGGTCAAAACGTTTGCGATGAACATTCCTATTTACGTATGCAGCCGGAGTTTAAATGACTCTTATACTGATTTCTCACCATATTTTTTTTCCACAACTTTAGCCAAACAATATTCAAAATAAAATCATGCTGACTATTTTTATTATGGTCATGTTTGGTTAATTTTCAAAACACAACCACACATGAACATCAACATTACATAATTACATATTCTACATAACCTTTACTTTTCTCTCCCCAGCTAATGACATGGAGAGAGACGCTGACATCCCTTCCACTGTCCTCACACACGTGGAACAGGTAACACCAGTAACACCTATTGCTCCAGCTGTGCAGGGGCCAGCTGTGCCCGGGCAAGCTGGGCCTACTCCCATGCAGCCGGGAGCAAACCAGCTCAATGACAGGAACCAGAACGGAGCAGGGGCTCGGCCAGAAACCAACGGGACAGTCCCGGGGATACCAGGTAATACTGGGAGACCCTTTAGTATCTCTGGGTTGAGCTCACGTTCAGCGAGCACCACAGCCTATCGCATATCTCCGTACGCCTACACGGGTCCACTGAGGTTCCTGTGTGCCAGCGACGCCCGGGCGGATGTTTTTGTGGACAGCTTTATGTTCTGGATGGATACAGTGGAGATGGTGAGGGTGGCAGGACATCCCCTTGTCTACTACTCAGGCTGGGTGTTCCCCATCTACATCTTCAGCTACCTGTCTTGCCTGCGTGTGGTGGTCATGCCCCACAGCCCCCTGCTGTCCTCACTAGGTGTGGCCGTGCAGGACTTTCCCTTCTTTTTTGTGCGCGTTGGCCTCATTGCCTTCTTTGGCTTTGTCACACCCCTCCTCTATCTGATGAAGAACCTGCTGGTCTGCCTGGCCTTTGTCTATTTCAACTTCATGACCAGGCTGAGGGTCTTCAACACAGAGAGGATGTTCTTTTGAGACTAGCACCTTAAGCAAAGACAACATTAAAAATGTAGTAGGAGCAATAGGTTGGTACAAAGACACTAGGATTCAGGAGATGGTTGCACCAGCTCTTCATAAGTTCAGACTTGGCCTTCTTATAAAGCAAGTGTTTACTAAGGGGAGATCACTAAAGTAAAACAGGTTGCACCCCACAATCAAGCCTTTACACTGAGATACACCAATCAGCCAAAACATTAAAACCACTGACAGGTGACAAGGACTATTTTTAGGTGGCTAAAATATGTTTTGTTGCTGACTCCATCCACAGCAGTACATTACTTAGCTTCCATGTCAGACTCCAGCCTGCTTCTCCAAACTGGGGCAGTGCCAACTGACATCTACTGTGTGTAAAACACTCTCTAAGTACCCCATACAACCCCACTTCAAAGAATCTGAACTATCCCTTTAAGAAAAGCTGGTGCAACCAAACCAAATGATAAATTTGTGTGTGCAAAGCAGAAGAGGTATTTTGTTAAAATGCATGATGGTACTCTTCACAGGCCAAAAGGGAGCTCTTAGGCAATGTTTTCCCATAAAGGACATTATGCGTCCAATGACTGTTGTGTTATGTATTATTATACCTTTTATGTTCAACTTTTTTTACCCCCCTGAACCCCTCACCCTCACCAAGCATGGCACTTTGGGAATGTACCTGTTCTGTCATTTGAGAGTTTTAAGCAGATTTTTTTCTACCATCATTAAGTGCAGTGAATGTGTAAAAGCATACATCCATGTTGTTTATATTAGGTTTTTCTCTGCTAAGTTATATTCACAAAAGAAAAACAAAGTGTGAGTTTGTATCATTGATACATATATTTTGGTAAGATTAATAAAGAAAATCATTCAAATAGATGTTTTAAGTTTCAGTAGTGATTTATCATGTATGCGGAAAGTTTTTGACCTCCATTCAAACCTGTTTCACTGGAATTTCTTCCCAGTCGCTCCCCACGAGAATGGGTTTCCTGTCATTATTCTGTGAAACATTTTCATCACATGCCTTCCCGCAATCCGACATGGTCCAGGGCACAGGAGCACTGACTGCTGAATGACACTGAGTCATTACACATGTACAATCTGATGCAATTCAACACAATGGCCCTGCAAACAAACAGAACTTGCGTGGAGATTATCATTTTTAGGGTGGGACAAAATGGCAAAAACAAAAGAGTGAAATCAACTGTTATTATGAGGTATAAACATAATTTGATTTCTGGGCTGTTTTTATTAAATTATAAACATATTCATGATATTATGTACATCCACTTTCCAGTATATGATAGTTTTTCTTGTACTGAACCTTGCTGCCTTTTGTAAGATCTCTTTGCCAATTTAAAAGTAGCCTACCTGCAAAAATCAGTGCGTTCTTTACCCACCAGAACTCACCTATATTTGATCTTGTGTGATTAGTATTAGTATATTTCAAGACCACAGCTGGGGGGATATCACTAAATTGCCTGTGCAGAAAAAGGAGTGTTGAATAAAGATGGTTATTTCAGCCACTTAGTGTTTGTATTTGTTTGCTCATAGAAGACAAAGGAAAATTCCCCCACATAAGATCCACCATAAAGCCTTTCAATTAATTTACCAAGACACTTCTCACGCTATGCTTAAACATAGATAAATATATGTACAGTATGTGCAGTACAGTAAAAGGAATCTTTCTTTGTTTTCTGTGGGTGTTTTTATGAGGATGTGGATCTTTCAGATCAGTTTGAGGAGTGTCTGGTTTGCATGTTCCTCATTTGATTATAAGTGTCTCATGCAGTGTGGGACTTGCCCTGCCTTGGTCTTGTCTCAGTCTCAATACACTCAGGTCTTAGTCATGACTCATTTTAGGTGATCTTTCTTGACTACAACGTTTTTATACGCTTATCCGGGGCTGGGTCTCGGAGGCAGCAGGCCAAGCAAAGCACCCCAGATGTCCCTCTCCCCAGCAACACTTTCCAGCTCCTCCTGGGGGACCCCAAGGCGTTCCCAGGCCAGATGAGATATGTAATCCCTCCAGCGTGCTCTTGGTCTGCCCCAGGGCCCCTTACCGGTGGGACATACCTGGAACACCTCTAACAGAAGGCGCCCAGGATGCATCCAGATGCCTGTACCACCTCAACTGACCCATTTCAATGCGAAGGAGCAACGGCTCTACTCCGAGCTCCCTCTGGATGTCCGAGCTCCTTACCCTATCTCTAAGGCTGAGCCCAGCCACTCCACAGAGTGGAGTGACCTCGCGACCTCATTCTTTGCTCATGACCATAGGTGAGGGTTGGGACGTAGATGAACCAGTAAATCGAAAGCTTCACCTTCTTCATTACGAAGGTCCTGCGCAGCGCCTGCATCACTGCAGAAGACGCACCAAAATACCGATCCATCTCACCAGGGGCAAAAATCCCATTTCATAGTTGTGGGGGGGGGGGGGACAATAAACAGTAAAATTTTAGGGAATAATTCCAGGGGGGGGGGGACAAGGCAAAAAAGTTGTAGCCTGTCTTTTATACAGCATCTTTTACCGCAATTTGATGCTTTAATCTTGTGAATGAGTGAGTGTCTATACTTATGAGAAATGGCTTAACAACTAAACATTTCCTGCAATTAAACTGTTAAACTGGTTTATAAACAGTGTGCTGTGAGATCTGCCACTGCGCACCTCACAACCGTGTGTAATAGTCGCGCGTAATGACCGCTCCTCGTCGGTTAAACTGCACGTCTTTCATGTTTGTCTCACTGACAGGTGGAGAGCCTACAGACAGGTATCCATTATCTACGAGCCGCTCCGCCACTGACTGCTCTTGTCCTGTCCTCTCCCTCTTATGTCTCTCTTGTCCTCTCTGACTATCACTAAACTCTGAGCTTAATCATTAGCTTTTAGCTTAGCAGCACTTGTAATTGAGTAGGCTTTTGAACAATGCAGGAGAAATGTTGCAGACAGTTTATATTATCAGCCTGGGCCTGGGGCTTATTGTTGGGGGGTTTGTGTAAGTTAAACTGTGTCTGTGTGACTGTACATCTTACCCCGCGATGCGCGATGTGAGCAGCGGGTCCAGTCTAACCCCACCCGTTGGAAAGAGTGTGGGATATACCACTACTAGGAATGGGAGGGGGGGACTCAATCTTTTAAGATTTAAATAGCACATTATTGCGCAATTATAATGAGCACCGCTTACATTGTGCTTTCAATAAATACTATTGCATTGTTCAAAAATTATTAATTGTGTCTCAAATTATTCTAGGGGGGACAGCTTTACTGGAGGGGGGGTCATGTCCCCCCTGTACCCCCCGGGATTTCCGCCCCTGCCACACTCCATCCTACCCTCACTCGTGAACAAGACCCCGAGATACTTGAATTCCCTTGGTTGGGGCAGTAACTCCCCCAAGCTGGAAGGGGCAATCCACCAAGCAGAGACCCAGGTGCTGACTCTAATCCCAACCACTCCACAATGGGCTGCAAACCACCCCAGTGCATGCTGGAGATCACGGTGTGATGAAGCCAATTCAACTATTTTACAAGGTCATAATATGTCAGTACTGTGTTTTCATTGTCTTCCTCCAAGTAGACAATTTTACAAGTTTGCATTTGAGTTTATACCTTAGCTTGTTTTGATTTGATAAAAGTACAATGCAGTCTGACAAAAACTAAAAGGCATAAAAGATGCATTTACAATCAAGAATTACTTAGAATCAACTCCAGTTTTCCCTTTGAAAATATGATTCATTTCATACATTTTACAAGTGAGTTAGAAAGCACTCAGAGAGCACAGACACTTTGCTAAGGCTGCATAATTAGTATGTTCCGATGTTAATTTTGGGAAAACATTTACATCATGTCATTATTAGGTTGCAGTCAATATCGTTATTAGAATACACTGTACAACTTGTAGATTCTCCTACATCTTTGTGTTTACTCTAAACAAAGCACAGGTATTTTACAGGTATAAGGCCAACTTCTCTGTTCCCTATTTGTCTGTGCATCATTGCTGGGCATCCCTGCAGTAAGAGCTAAAGTGGTCGGATCTCCACTAACTTCCCCCAGTAGGAAACAGGATTTCCTCCTGTCCTCTCTTTCTACTGACTTGTATCATCACTGCACTCCTTACCCGAAGCCCCCGCAGACCTCCCAGGGGCTGCTATCCCACAAAAGCCCTCACATCAGCAAAGAGCTGCAAACCTCATTAAATCCTCATTTTCTGAAACTGGCACATTCCTGATCAGATGTGAATCTTCAGACACCTGAAACGTCTTCAAAGCCAGTCTTGATGAATGACATCTGCTCTACGGCACAGATTTAGCTCAGACTGAAGAGCTATTTATAAAAGACTGGAAAAAAAAATCTCAGATAAAGGCGATATGTTGAACCTTAGAAAAGCCTGCTTGAGTAAATTAATTCCTAAATTCCATCACCCAGTTCCTTGTTTGCCTTTGATTTAATAAAAATAGAATTACTGTCCTTCCCTTACACTTGAGTTTTCTTGAAGCTATTACGGTGACTTTCTGTTTGTTGTTAAATAGCGAGATGAGATTGCTTGCTTCCCACTTCCTGCCTTCCTCTGCCAAAGAAATTCTGTGAAAGCTCATGGAAATTGCTGTCGTTTGTACAACCTTAGTTAGCCATGTGACAGGATACCCATCAGTGAGATTAAGGGGGGAAAGCACCACGTCTCTGTGTCATTGTTGCTCCATGTCGCACACCTTAGCATACATCAGACCTCTTCTCTCATGACTGGAAAACTCTCCAACAACCTCATCCACCACTGAGTGCAAAATACGCACCAAGGATAATGTTACCCTGTTTAAATGTTGCTGTGGTCCTCTGTCTTCTGCAGGTCCTCTGCATTACTGCAGACATAGGTACGTACCAACGATACATTTTCTGTCTGTTCATCTTTTAAATTTAGGAGAGTAATTAGATTGTAAATGCATTTGTTGAAGCTGCTCTGCTCTGCTCCAGACAGTGGCTCCTTCCTGATCTTCAACGAGAACCACAACAAGTGCATAAAGGTGGAGAGTGCCACCTCCATAACGGTGGCCCCCTGCGATCCTCATGCCAAAAACCAGCAGTTTCGCTGGGCCTCTGAATCTCGCGTCCTCAGTCTGTCCCTCAAGCTCTGCCTGGCGGCCACAGAGATTACAGACTGGGTAAAGGTGGTCCTCTTTGAATGTGATGAGAGCAGTGACCTCCAACACTGGCAGTGCAAGAACGAGACCCTCTTTGGCCTCAAAGACCAGGACCTGCACTTAAACTGGGGCAACCGCAATGAAAGGAACATAATGATCT